GGAACCACAGTCGTTTCCCCACCATTGTATCCCCAGGCTTCCCCAACTAACTGGCATGTAGGAGAAGCACAATCAACGTGGGATAAGTAATATCAGGCCACCGGGCAGTTGAACCCAGGGTGCCTCCTTGTGCTGTAGAAAGCCCATCAGTCTTGAGACAGAGGGAGGCCTGGGGCTTGGTATTGAGCAACTCCTGTGGTCTGAGGCCAGTCTCCTAACCCATCTGGCTGCAAAGGCAGCCCCCAAACAGAACAATGGCAACGTTAGTGCCCACGCCCAGGCTGGCCCCCGGAGGATACGGAGATCATGTGTGCGAGGATGGGACCTTGTGTTCACCAAGACGTGCCAGAGCTTCCTGCGACCACCCCACAGGCAGCAGCATTCCCATCTAAGAGGCTTGGGCAAGAGCTCATCATCTGTCACACACCGTGAGTAAGTGAAGCCCCACGGGCAGCTGAAACCGCTGTGTAATTCCCCTCCATCATGAATGAATATCTTTATTATCTTTATGACCAAGCACCTTTGCCTGGAAATGGGATTCTGACTTCATAAGAAATTCTGCAAAGGGAGAGATTCTGAAAAGGCAGGAGGCTCCTAAATCCCTTAACCAGGGAAACAGCACGGAGGGGCAGAGGGGCCAGACCTGGATAATGGTTTCTCACCACTGCCCATCCCCAGCAGACAGGGAAAGTGCCTTAGGTCAGGTCTGCCCTGGTCTGGGCATCTCTCTTGCCTGGAAGAAGGTGTCTGGGAGTGTGCCCTGTATTGTCCCGATCTCTCCTCCCTGACTTTTCCAGCAAAGTTTGAGTCTTCACTCCCTTTGTCTTCTGATTAGCAGGCCTAATAGTCTCCACCAACCACACAGGGGCTTCTCTACCCTCCTTCCCAGCTAAACAGCCGCTCCTGAGCCCTTCAGGAAAAAACCAACAGCTACTCTAGAAGAAAGCAGTCAGTAGTATCTAAAAATGATGGAAAACAGAAGTTAACACAATCCCTTATTTAAAGAGCCATTGAGCACTTTCTATGTACCAGTTTCTAGGCTTCCATAGGAAAAAAAAAAAATCAACTATAGTCCTTTTCCTCTAGGTTATCAGTGGATGAGTAGGGCATGTTTTTCAGCATGGAAAGAGCTATGGAAGTTTAGACTGATCTCTGCCAAATCTTAGAGGAAAAGTAGAAATCAGCCAAGGTGTGGAAGGTAGTTCCACCTAGAGGGAAGCAACCATGCAAAGACCCAGGCCTGGGGAACGTTTTGGACACAGCCTGGAGCGCCATGTAGCTGGAGCTTGAAGTGTCAGTGGGGCAGAGGCAGCTGATGAAGCTGAGATGGAGCAGAGAGCCTCAGACATATACTCACTGAGAGGTTTGGATCACCACGAAGGCAATGGGAACCCCCGGGAGATATTAGAAAGCCAAAGGGAAACTTGGTGACTGGCTGAACCGTTTGAAGACAAGCAGCTTTTTGGAATATCTCTTATATAGGAGATATATAGCTCTCCCAGACATAAAGCCATTTATAGCCATATGCATCCCCTAGTAGCCCAAGCTGCAGCAGCTCAGCCCACCCCTCCTCCCTCCCCCGAAGACTCCTCAATGCTTTCAAAATAATTATAGCTAACATAAACTGAGCATTTAATATGTGCAAGGCACGATTCTAAGCATTTTGCATGCATTGGCTCAGTCCTCACAAACACCTGATAAGGTAGGTACTATTATCAGCCCGTTTTACAAATAAGGAAACTGAGGCACAGCTGGGAAAGTCAGTAGCCCAAAGTCCTACAGCTACTGGGTTGTGGAGCCCGGACAGCAGTTCAGTCTCCTGAGTCAGTATGCAGGCAGCCCTGCCCCTCTCCGGCAGGACAGCTTCTTTCAGGCCCCTGGGCATGCATGATGACCCTGCCCCTCCTCTCTGCTCCTTAAGTCATCCAGGTACTCTTGGGCCCACTCTATGCTCCCCGCCAGTCATGCAGCCTTTGCTGCTGGCCCTTGGCAGAGCCCAGGCTCACTTGGGTACCGTGCTGTTGATATTAGGACCTAACCGATTTCAGAGGTATGAGTCTCTCCAACCAGACCGGGGAATCCCAAGCTCAGGGGCTGTTTCTTCCTCCTTATCTCTCCCGCCCTCACTTCTGACACCCTCTCCCCCCGAGAATGAATGATCACAGTCTCCTAGGATCATAATTACAACCACTTCTTTCTCATGACGCTCAACACTTGGGGGTCCCATGTCCCCTCACCTCCCCTGTATCCCTGCAGGATTCACCCAGCACTTCTGTGTTCCCAGCGCTTTGCCCCATGCCTGGCAAAGGTAGGCACTCAATGAGGGCTTTTGGAATGGATGAATGAATCTAACTTGTGTCAGAGCCTTATAATTTTTTTTTTTTTTTTGCGGTACGCAGGCCTCTCACCGCTGTGGCCTCTCCTGTTGCGGAGTCTAACTTGTGTCAGAGCCTTATAATTTTTTTTTTTTTTTTTGCGGTACGCAGGCCTCTCACCGCTGTGGCCTCTCCTGTTGCGGAGGCTAAATTGTGTCAGAGCCTTATAATTTTTTTTTTTTTTTTGCGGTACGCGGGCCTCTCACCGCTGTGGCCTCTCCTGTTGCGGAGGCTAAATTGTGTCAGAGCCTTATAATTTTTTTTTTTTTTTTGCGGTACGCGGGCCTCTCACCGCTGTGGCCTCTCCTGTTGCGGAGCACAGGCTCTGGACGCGCAGGCTCAGCGGCCACGGCTCACAGGCCCAGCCGCTCCGCGGCATGTGGGATCTTCCCAGACCGGGGCACGAACCCGTGTCCCCTGCATCGGCAGGCGGACTCTCAACCACTGCGCCACCAGGGAAGCCTCAGAGCCTTATAATTTACAAAGCAGTTTCTCATCCATTAACTCAAGGGCTATTCCTTGTGAGCCTTCCTTGTCCTCCACGGGGCTCAGCACAGCAGTGGATGGTCATGGTGGCAGCCTTCTAAGCAATGGATGAGAAAAAGAATGAACTCCTGATTCTACAGAGAAGGAGAATCCATTTCATTAGCCCACAAGTATCTGGAGGGCAAAGACCAGGTCTTATTCGTCATTATATTTCAATGCCCAGCACAATGTCTGGTACACAGAGTCCAATATTTGTGAAATGTGTTGAATAAATCAATTTTCCCCTCTGCAGAAGTAACAAGACTTCCTCCTGACTACTGCTCTCCTAACAGAATCCAAAGGGAGAACTGCACTGAATTACTTCCATGTCTAGCACATTTTGATGTGCAGAATCTTTTCTTGTCTTTTTAATCTCAGATCTCTGATGGGAAAAGATTATTATTCCTACTTTACGGATGGCAAAGCTGAATTCCAGAGAGACTGGGTGTCCTGACCACATCTCACTTAGTCCCCTGACATCTGTGGGGGAGAGAAGTGATGGCACAGACCGAAGACACAGCGGCAAGTTGGAGGCACAGTGAGGTGCCTATCAGCTCCTAGAGAAGCAAAGGAGCCAGGTCTCTGAGTTCTGAACTCCTGAGGATCTCTCCCTTCCTTTCTGACTCATATTCTGTGGTATGGCATCTGGGAAAAGGGCAGCGTCCAAAGCTCTCAGCCCCTGCGTCCTGAGAGATGACAATCTAAGTGCCACTTAAGCTAGTTCTCAGGTGTCTCCAGCACCCCACTGCCTGTTTGGGGACAGATGGCAAAATTTTCCATCCTCTGTAAAGCTGGCCCTGGTTAGCTCAGACCACCCACATCCACGCCGACGTGACCAAGAACAGATCCCTGTTCACCTCAATCACCTCCTCTTCTCACCCCCGGGGAGAGATCGGGCCCCGACACTCAGAGGGGGCGCACATTCTAGGCTGTCCCGGGCTATCTGGAAGCGGGCTGAAGTGAAAACTGCTTTCCGGAAATCCTCCACTGCTGGACTTTTATTTCCAGGTCTAACTCCAGACTGTGATGTGAATTCTCCTCGGTCCCCCGAGAAGGTCCCCCCCGCCCCAGCTCCTGAGCCAGCCTCCCCACCGCCCCTTCGGGTTCCCGTTCCAGGGCTTGGGGTGTGGGGGGCGAGCAGCACCAAACTCCGCTCCAACTAGCAGACCCCAGGGCGCCCTCTAGCGGACGCGGGGCGCGGGGTGGGGCCATCGCTCGCCCTCGGGCTAGTCCCGCCGCGTTAAGAGCACCTGGCCGGACCCACACCTCACCTCGCAGGTTTGGAGACCCAGAAGTGCGAAAGCAGTTGTTGTTTGCGTTTGTGTTTTTTTGGTGGTGGGAGGCGGCACCCGTGTTGCGTCGTCAAAGAACCTATCAGTGGGCCGATGGGCTGAGGCCGGACAGCAGCCACTCAGGCTGCGTTCCCTCCACCCTTAGGACTCCCGGCTTCACCTCGGGGACATGCCCACAGGTAACCGTCGCGCGTCCCCACCCCCCCCCCCCGGCCCCCCCCCCCCCCCCCGGGCTCCCAGGTCCGGTCCCAGTTTCGCGGCCCGGCCTTGGGGTGTCCCCAGTTCCCCTGAGGCAGGCATGAGCCTCCTGGGGCCGCGATCGGGATCTCGGGCGGGCGCGGGAGGGCGAGGGGGTCTCCCCGCGAGGTCCGAGAAAAGGGAAGGGGAGCCGGGAGCCTCTCCCGTTCGGCCTCCTGGAACTGCCCGCGCTCTGGGAGCGGCGCCCCCGCCTCTGCCAGAAACTGGCCTTCTTAGAAGGGAGGGGGAAAGTGTGAATGAGAAGTTGGGGGCGGAGCGCGCGCGGGGGAGGGGCCGCTGCCAGGAACGCGCCGCCGGGGCTGGCGCCTAGCCCGCCGGCCGCCCCGGCTGCCTCGCGTTGCGCTTTGTCTCTGCGCGCGTCTCTGCGGGTCTCTGGCCCTGCTCGCGGCCCGCCCTCGGTCGCCCGCGGCCCCTCCCTCCCATCCGCGCACAGCCTTTCATTGCTGCGAGTAGTGACTAAACATTACAAGAAGGCCGGCCGCGCAGTTCCAGGAATCGGGGGGCGGGGCGCCGCTGCCGCGTATATACCCGCGAGCGCGGCCTCAGCGCCGGCTCCGACTCGGACTCCCCGCGACGCCGCCGCCGCCGCCGCGACTCCGGCCCCGCACGCCGCCCGCCCGGCCCAGCTCCCGCCGCGATCCCTCGCCTCGCCCCCGCCCGGCCAGCCCGGGGGCGCGCAGGGGGCAGGGCGGGCGTCCCGGCGAAGCCCGAGGGACGCGCGCGCGAGGCCCCTTTGTGGACTTCACGACCGCCAACATCTGGGCGCAGCGCGGGCCACCGCTGGCCACCGCGCCGCCGCCGCGCCTTGGGGACCGTAGGAGGGGCAGCCCCAAGGCCAGAGACTTCGGTTTGGGACCAGGTAGGAAGGAGGGGCGCGGCGTGGAGGGGGGGGGTCGGTTCGCTAGTCCTGGGAGCTTTTCCCGGTTTCCCCTCCCCTTCCCGGGTCATTCCTGGCAGGGAGGGGACGAGATAGGGGGCAGAGCGGATGGAAGCCGGAGATCCCAGGTTCCCGGAATACCCAGGCTGGGGCCCTCGGGCTTCTCGTGTCCCCTCCCTACCCCCATGCCTCAGATTTCTTTCTCCGTCCCTGCCGCCCGGGGCCACCGGACTGAGCGGCGTCCAGAGCGTCCAGGGGGCCCTTCTCCCGCTCCCCACCCCGGCCACGCTCCTGGAGACCCAACTTCCGCGCCCGAGTTTCCCACTCGGCGCCTTCCCAGTGCGCGCTGGGGAAAGGGCTGCCTGGAGGCGGGGGCTGGGCGGGCTCCGTGGGATTTCTGGGTCGGAACGAGGGCCCAGGCGAGCGCCTCCGGGGCAGCTGGTGTCCCGGCCGCTCGGCGGAGGGAGGGGAGCCGGGGTGGGCCGGGCGCGCTGGAGGGTTCCGGGTACTCACGCGGCGCGCGCCTTCCTCCCCGCAGCTCCCCGGGATGCGGTAGCGGCCGCTGTGCGGAGGCCGCCGAGCAGCTGCAGCCGCCGCCGCGCAGATCCACGCTGGCTCCGTGCGCCATGGTCACCCACAGCAAGTTTCCCGCCGCCGGGATGAGCCGCCCCCTGGACACCAGCCTGCGCCTCAAGACCTTCACCTCCAAGAGCGAGTACCAGCTGGTGGTGAACGCAGTGCGCAAGCTGCAGGAGAGCGGCTTCTACTGGAGCGCCGTGACGGGCGGCGAGGCGAACCTACTGCTCAGCGCCGAGCCCGCCGGCACCTTCCTCATACGCGACAGCTCGGATCAGCGCCACTTTTTCACGCTCAGCGTCAAGACCCAGTCGGGGACCAAGAACCTGCGCATCCAGTGCGAGGGGGGCAGCTTCTCGCTGCAGAGCGATCCTCGGAGCACGCAGCCAGTGCCCCGCTTCGACTGCGTGCTCAAGCTGGTGCATCACTACATGCCGCCCTCCGGCGCCCCCTCCTTCTCCTCGCCCCCAACTGAACCCTCCTCCGAGGTGCCCGAGCAGCCGTCGGCCCAGCCGCTCCCGGGGAGCGCCCCCAGGAGAGCCTATTACATCTACTCGGGGGGCGAGAAGATCCCTCTGGTGTTGAGCCGGCCCCTCTCCTCCAACGTGGCCACTCTCCAACATCTCTGTCGGAAGACCGTTAACGGCCACCTGGACTCCTATGAGAAAGTCACCCAGCTGCCTGGGCCCATTCGGGAGTTCCTGGACCAGTACGATGCCCCCCTTTAGAGAGCAAAGGGCAGGGGTAGGGGCTAGGGGCCCGGGTCCCCTCTCCCCCATGGCACATGGCATAAGCACAAGAATCCAGCCGTGAGAGTCCTGCAGCTCTGGGTGAGCTAGGGGGCGGACAGGCCCCTCCCTCCGGTCCTCCCCCTGCAGAACTGGGCGGGTGGTACCTGGAATGTGTTTGAGGGGAGGGGGAGAGCCACCTGAGCGCCCCTCCCCCACGCCAGTTTCTCCGGAGGAGCCGGCTGGCCCAGGGGGACCACAGCAACGACCTCAGTGGATTCTCTCTCCTCTCCCGCTTTCTCGACCCCCCTGCGCTTCCAAACAGGGGACACTGCGGGCGTGTTGAACTGGTGAGAGCTGCCGGGGAATCTTCGAACTTTCCAACGGAACTTGTTTGCTCTCTGATTTGGTTTAAAACAGAGCTTTAAACCTGAGCAGGTCGCGGGCCTGGAAAAGGGTGGATGAGAGAGAGGGCGCCTCAGGGGCCCAGGGCTACCGGCTGGCCAAGGAAATGGTCACCCCCATCGCCCAGCCCAGGTGAGGAGGGTGGCTGCCTGCTCCACCTCTGGCACTGGGGAGAAGGGCAAGGGGTGGCCTGAAGGGGACCTTTCCGCTCCCCCTCTTCCTCCCCCTTCGGACAGCCACCAGAAACACAGGTCCTAGAGTCCATCTAATGCCGGAGAGCCCAGGGCCCTTCCCCTGTTTTAAGGGGGGAGTGGCATTTGGAAGGGGATGGACGGCTGGTCAATTCTTCTTTCCCCACCCATGCTACACCTTTCGGCACCTGGGGGATGGGGCTGGAGGAGATGAACCACCTTTGACCCCAGATCCTGGACAGAGAAGATGGGGGATTCTACTTTGTGCCTCCTGACTGTATCTGGCTAGGAGATTTGCCTTAAATGCTCCCTGTCCCATGGATAGGGACTGGCACACAAGAAGCCACACACTCAGCCAATCCAGGCAGAGGCCAAGAGATTCTCAGAGGGGCATACACCGGCCACACACCATTTGGCCGGGGAGGTTGGAGATGGATGGGGGGGGCAGAGATCCATGCCTTCCACCTGAGCGCAGGAATGCGGAGCGCAGGAATCCCAGCCGAGTGGGTACTGGCCGGCCAGTGGTGCCTGGGCTCTGGCCAGAGCAGAGCCACCAGGCTCCACAGCCCCCCAGACCCTGCACAGCCCTCCCTCCTCACCCTGGGAGACTGGCACAGGCAGGAAGTCATCGAGAGGCCCTGCCACCCAGCTGCTCCCGCTCTGCAATAGCACTGATCAGTGAAAACTTACAGGAATGTAGCGGGGATGGAATTACCTGGAACTGTTCTTTTTTGGGGAAAACTAAACAAAGTTTTCTGTGTCAGGTATTGGGCTGGATGGGGCAGCTGTGTGTTGGGGTGTTTGGTTTTTTTTTCTCCTGTTATTTTGTTTGGGTTTCGTTTTTGTTTTTTAATAATGTTTACAATCTGCCTCAATCACTCTGTCTTTTATAAAGATTCCAACTCCAGTCCTCTCCCCTCCCCCCACCCAGGCCTTCGAGGCTGATAGGAGATGCTTGAAGAACTTAACAAAATACCAGTCCAAGTCAAACTTTGCACATATTTATATTTATATTCAAAAAAGAAACATTTCAGTAATTTATAATAAAGAGCACTATTTTTTAATGAAAAACCTGACTTGAGCCTTTCTCCCCCGCCCCTTCTGCCGTGCTTGGTCTTTCACCCACACCTACACTCTACATCAGAGGGCGGCGGCTCTACCGCCTTGCTGCCCTGGCGCTCCTTGTGATGGAATCAAACTCGGCTTCACGTCACTGACAAGCTAAGGCAGCCACCTAGACTGTACCGAGAGGGGTAATTCCTGCTAGTCTGATTCAGATCTGACCAGAATATGCAAAGCAAGTTCGAAGGAAGCGCTTCAAAGGGCTTGCAGGGAGTATAAACTGAGCTGTGGTCAAAGCTTTTACAGGCTCCAAGCTATTAGAGGCGCTGGGCTCCGTGGCAGGGAGGTGTTCCGAGAAAGCCCAGACTACGGGGTCCTGGAGGTGACCCGTGACCTCAGCACAGCTGGGTTCATGGGAGGTGGGGGGAGGGGGAGTCCCGATGCAAACCCTGCACTAAGTGGGGCCCTCCCCAGGGGTAGGAGCCCCAGCCTGAGAAGTGGATGGGGCCACATGCCTCCCAATAAGAGCAGCCATCTATTCACCTATTTTCAGCCACTCCCACCCTCTGGGCACTCAGAGACCACCTGGGTTGGTGGTCACCTTCCCAGCCACCCCCACGAGGCTGGTGTTATCACCGCATATTCTCAGGCCCAACTGTGTGCTCCATGGGAGCGGGGACTTGGACTGGTCACTTCTGATGCCTAGAACGGTGCTCAGTAAATATTTGTTGGCTGAGTGGGGGCAGCATCTCAGGTTCACGGAGGTTAAGCAACCTGCCCAAGGACACACCTCTTGGGAATGTGGGAAAGACACAGGTTAGGAATCCGGGAGCCTTTGATTTTTCCAAAGCCCAGGAACTCTTTCTGCCTCCCATAAGTAAGCACAAAGTATATGCCCGGGGTTGCCCCTAGGTAGGTCCCTCCTGCAAAGTCAAGAGGTTGGTAACCGCCTCCCCCGCCCCGCCCCCCACACTCAGCACTAGGGTTCTGCTAAAAAGACAAACTAAAAGTGCCTCTGCTCTGTGACACTTTCCTTCCATGCTTCTCCTCCCCCGAGGCCCCAAGCCTGACAGCTGGATCAGTGTCTCCCCAAGTCAGGGGCCCCATCCCCTCCTCTGCCTCGGATGCCTGAAACAAATGCCAGAGCCCTCTTCCTGGCCCCCGATAAGCTGCTCAGAAATCAGTGTCCAAAAGGCAACTGAGAGTAAATAAACAAAGTCGTTTTTCTTTCCCATTTCCTGGACTTTTGGGGAAAATAACCTAAAGTGACGAGAAAGGGCGAGGCCAGGCATGGGACCACTGAGTAGACAGAGCACGTTAGGAAGCACACCAGAGAGACTACCACCTCTGGAACTGGGAATGCAGACCCAGGCAAGGTCAACTTCCCAGAGCACAGGGTCAGGTGAGGGGACCCAGTGGGGCCTGGCTCCCCAGCGCCTCGCAGGAGGACGAGAGCCCGGGAGACTTTTGGTAGGCTCTTCCCCACCCCACCATCTGCTGGCCTGACAGCCTCGATGGAACCTTGGAACCCAGAGCACACGAAGGCCCCGTCCTTGGCCCAGAAGGCAGCTGTTTAGCCAGGATGTCCAGAGTTTAGAGGGTGCTAACGGAAGGGCCTGCAGGGGGGAAGCGGCTCTCCCTACCCCTTGGAGGTGGAACTCAGAGGCAGAAGACCCCTGACTCCTTTCCCTCGCTGCCCACCCCACCCTTCCTCCTTCCCATAGGTCTCTCCATTTTCAGACCACAGACCGGACCAAACTTCTGGTTTGCAGACAAGTCAAAGTGACTCCCAGAGAAGGAAAGCAACTTACTGGACTTCACACAGCAAGCTAACGGCAGCATCAGGACAAGAATCTCTCAGACTGGTCTCTGCTCACCAGCACTTTTCTCTGTTTTCCCTCCTCATACCAACCCGTGTTGCAGAAGTCTTTCTGTACTTCTCAGTCCTTTCAGAGGCAGACACCGCTCCTCCAGAGGACTTTGTGGGCGACCCTCTGTCCTGGCCGCCAGAGGAGGGGTGCACCTGGTTCCCAGATTTGCTGAGAAGCGTCCCGCAGGGCACAGGGAAAATTCTTTGCGGCTTGAGCCTCAAAGGGGGTTAAGCACAGGGGGTTAAGCCCAGCTGGGGGTCCCTGGCCAACAGAAAGGGAGGAGATGGAGCTCTCCAGACCGTGGGCCCTATTACCGTGTTTCAAGCGCTGTAGGAATCCACCCCCAAGAGGTCCTTATCCTCTCCCCGGTGGTGCTGTCTTTGGACAGGCCTCCTGATGAGTTAGAGCCAGGAACGGGAACTCTGAGGCTTGCTCTGAGGGAGGGAAGGAAGGAGGCCACAGACAGGGGAGCTGGAGATGGAAAATAAGCGGGCACGTGTGTCCTAGTCTAAGGATGTTTGGGAGGGGGCACCGCCGGAGTACCAGGCAGAGAGAGAGAGAGAGAGAGAGAGAGAGAGAGAGAGAGAGAGAGAGAGAGAGAGAGGGCAGAGTCTGATAGCCACAGAGGGAGTCTAAGCAGAGACAGAAGCCTGCGGGGCGGGGGACAATGTGCACAGGGGCGGACCGGGAAGACCGAGCCCGAGGTGGGAAGAACCCGGTCCCGGGCGCACCTTCCCGCGCCGCGTCCCGCCCCCTCCGGATCCGGCGGCCACCGGGCGAGCGGGCAGGCGGGCGCGTCGCTCTGGAGGCCGGCCTCTGCCAGGAAGAGTCACTTTCCGGACACCGCGGGAGCCCTGACGGAGCTATGCGAAGAATGTACGCGCGGAGCCTGGCGGCTGGCATCTCCCGGGCCCGCGCCGCCGCCGCCGCCGCCGCCGCCGCCGCCGC